AGGCAAGCTTCAGGCCCCCTCCCAACTCAGATGTACAGACAAGGACCAAGGCAGGACTCCGTGACGTAGAACTATTCCCAACTCATCAACATCTAAGAGTTCTAATTCAAGAAGAATGCTTACTTCTACTTCATTTGGTGGAAGAGAAGCAAGAGATGGAAGGAAAAAGAAAAAAATCTGTATTTGGAATCTGATATATAAGCTTACCTTGACTTATTATACCCAAGTGTTTCCCAAGTAAATTAAATGACTGTATGCTAAAAGAATATCAATCACAGGTGGTCCCTAGGACCAAAGAAAAAAACAACAAAAAAACCCAGAAAAGCTCTAAATGCTCCTTCTTACACTTTTTTGTCTTAAATTTTGAGCCTGCTTGCCATAGAAGCAATGTGATATAACACAGCTATGAACCCATGACAGGCTACTGCAGAATGCCTCTTTAACATTCCACAGAGTATTTCTAAAGTCTTTTAACAGTACTGGCCTGAGTTCTGGGTCTTGGAAGCAGGGATCACAGGAGAGGAAAGAATGAAGGGATAAAATAGTCTCTTGCTCCTCACAGTTCCCACCGTAGCCACAATTATGAATGAGGAAAAAGTGTTTCTGTTCTAAGACTCTTAGAGCTCTGAAGCTGACTTTTGCCCCTTCTTACTACAGCAACCTACTCAAGTACATTCAATTCTTCAAATATCTGTTTATCTTCCTTAATTACAACTTTAATTCTTAGCTGTCTCTAGATGGTATTAGGAAGAAAGCAATATGACAAACCAATTTATACTAATGTGTAAATGACTGATTGTACATTCGTTTATATGTACAACACATATATCCACAAACACATGCACACACATGATTACTTATATGATAACTAGGCATCATTCTAGGAGCCAGGAATGTAATCAAGAAAAGGGGCAGGTTTCTGCTCCCAGGACATTTACATTTCAGTGAGGAGAGTCTAAAAAAAATCCAGAAAGTAATAAATAGTCTACAGAAAATAGTGATCTAATATGGAAAAAACTGGTTGACCACTTCACATTGTGGTTAGGAAAGGCCTTTTGAAGATGTGACATTTGAGATGATATAATTAAAGACAAAGAGCCAGTCTTGTGTAAATGAAGGGAAGACAGCTCATGCAGCCCTGAGAAAGGAATGAGCTTGGTGCATGGGGGACAAAAAGACCAGTGGGCCTGAGGAATAGTGGGCAAGGAGGTAAATAGAACAGAAAGATAGACAGGGGTCAAATCACATCAGTCTGTGTCAGCCAGAGTGAGGCTTTCGAAGTTTATCATGAGTGGAAGAGGAAGCCTTCCAAGACTGTAAGGAGAAGTGTCGTCTGAGTTACATCTTCAGACCATCTCTAGCAGAAACATGGAGACCGACAGGAGGCTACTACAGGGATCAGAGTGAGAGAGAACGGCTGTCTGGACTAGGATGGTTATGGTAGAGAAAGCTAAGTGGGTCCGATCAAGATGTACCTTACAGGAAAGATGTGCAGGAGTTATGGATGGATTAACAAGGACAGCTAGGTAGATGCTGCTATTTTCCTGAGAAAGGCAAGATCTGGAAAGAATGTCCAGGAGAAGGGTAAAGTGGTTGGGCAGTAGAGATCAGCAGTTCTATTTTGGATATGGTCAATTTGAGCTGCAAATGACACATGTGACATTGATACAGGAAGGCAGTTGGTGTGTGAAGCTAGAACTCAGGGAAAAGTTGAGGCTGGGGATATACACCTGGTAATCATTGGCATATTGATGGCAGTTAAGCCTTAGAGACTGGTATGATAGTCCAGGGGATAAGCATGGACTGAGAAGAGGTCTGGAGACCAGGCTCTGGCTCACTCCAACAATTAGAGGTGGCAAGAGACTGATCAGGAAGCCCCCTCTTCTTGAGACGGGCAGCTCTGTAGAAGGGTGACTCAGGAAAAGAAGGCTCTTCCTCTATTAATAAGTATGGATCTTTAAGTGATTACAGGCAGCGTGAGGGTTGTCCTGAGCCCTTCTCTGCCAGTGGAAGGTTAGTTATAATCTATTATCAGTTGCTGTGAAGAAGCACTGTCTCACCTGCAAAGTCATAAGCTCTCCCCCCCCAAAGACTTCGACTATGGTAATAAAAAAATACTTTAATGAGATACACAGATATTTAATCCTGTCTCAGCTAGGAAGAGGCAGCAGCCTATCGAACACTAGCCAGGAGCCCGTCTACCTTAGGACAAGCGCCAGGACATCAGCTGAGAGAAAGCGCTGAGCCTCAGGACCACTGCCCGTCCATGGGAGGCTCTACGTGAAGAGAACTCCAACTCCTCCTCCTCATTCTTCCGCCTGCAGCAACTGGGCTTTGTCATCTGGGAACAAGAGTATCTTTTTTTCTCTCCCCTGAGGAGTCGGGAGATATAATAAAGCACTGCTCTGAATCATCAGGGTTGAAAGATAAATCAGAAATATTGAATAAGATGCTGAATGAACAATTCACAGGGTTTTTGGGGGGCGAGGGGGAAATGTCTGTTTACAGAGATAAGATTATCTGAGATTACCTGTGAATAGATTGTTTGGGGAGTATGCTGCATAGTTAATACTGCAGCAAATTATAGGAATTCTCCCAATAACACAACAAAGAAATCTGTGTCCCGATGGGAAGAATTTATGGCAGTTCAGGGAAACCATTTCTGACAACCAATGACTTTGCTGTACTCTCACCTCTCGATGCCCCTCTCTGGGTTGAGCTGGTTTTATGTGGCAGAACAAATGACTCTGAGCACTGAGGTTTACTGTAACCCATGTTCCATGTTACAGGAAAAAATCTTAATCATCTGGCTGCCACACTGTTCAAAAGAGCTGATTAATATGTGAGGTACAGAGCCATTTCATAACATTGGTATATAGACAAAGGAGCCCGTTTTGAGATGTTGAAATAAGTCCAGAAAAGACAAACAGCAGCCAAAGAAGTATTTTCAGGAACAAGGACTTGATGTAGGGAAAAGCATTTTTGAATCCCTTTTAAAGCAAGAAATGCATTTGGTAGAACCAACTGCTGACTTTTCAGAAAGGTAGGCTAATTTTAAAAGTAACTGTCATAAGACCTAATTTTGCCTGCATTACCATAATTTACATAGATTCTCTTCAAGAGTTAAAACACATGGCCAACAGCACATGCTCACGGGGACACTTTTTGATACAGTGACTTAAGCCTTAAGTAGACCCCCCCTCCAAACTATCTTTTCCTGTAGTCACCTCTGAAAGAGCAATGACTAGCCGTGATACTTAGTTCCTGTGGCTTTTATGCTTGTTTCCTAAACAAAGCCTCTTAAGAATATTTTAAGTTTTTCCTCCTGCTTGCTACATTTCTGGTCATTTTTGGAGAAAATTCAGAATCAAGACCAAATATAGAACTGCTGGAACACAGCTGGGCTGAGAGGGAGTCTGCTCTCCTGAGGATCAGTAGTCAAACTGAAGACTTTACAGAGCCCTGCCTACTAAGGCGGGAGGAAGAACACTCTCTAAATCCCTCAGTCCTCCATTAACTCGGTTGGACCCACACGGCGAGGACTCTCAAGCAGTCCATCAGTTGTGTAACACCATGTGCCACAGCTGACCAGTCTATACCAGGACATTTCGTCCATCCCTCGTTCCTCAAGGATAAGGTGCCCAGATTTATACTGGTCAGGTCATCTGCAGCCATTCAGCATCATCACAAAAACCATCTTACTGAATCTGCTACGTCCCCCCAGATGCTTTACTAGGTAGATAATTTAAGGGTGTTGTCTCCAACCCTGACCAGTATTCTGCAAGTCTGGTTATCCCTATTTCACAAACGGAGAAACCAAGGCTCAGAGAAATTAAGTAACATCCCTAGTCACTGAGAGGATAAATATCTTGAGTGGAGAATGAATTCCAGTGAAGAGATATTGATGATTTAAAATGTGCTTGTTTTCAGACTCAAAAACCAAAAGCCAGGTTGCCAACCATGGTAAATGCTAGTAGAAATCACATCGTATTAAGTGGATGGCGCCATCAGCAGGGCTCTATTTCCCTTAAGTCTCACCTTTTCCCAAGCCCACTGCAACCCTGGGCGTTGACCTTCTGTTGGTAGAGATCGGAGTCTCGTTGCTCTAAGCTGAGACTATCCATCTGTCAAGATGTCAACTCGTGCTGGGGAGTAGGTCCAGAGCTTCCGTCACAGTAAGCTCTGATGTGCACCAGCATTACCTGTGAGCTTAACACACGTTCCTGGGCCCTTCCTTTAGATCTTTTGATTCCATAGGTTGGTGGTGGGTCTTGGGCATTTGCATTTTGAAAAACAAGCTCCCAGGTAATGCCGATGCCCACCAAAGTTTGACAGTTACCACTGTCAATGTTACAATCAGGAGGAGGAGATCTTTACTCGGAAGAGCCAGTTAACCTAGTGAGCTCCAGTTGTAGGTGGGAAGAAAAATTTAGCTTATAGGAAGGCAGGCAGGGTCATCCACTCCTCCTGCTCACTTTGATCAGGATGACTTTTTCCCTGTTCTGATCCATGTCTACTTTTTATTTACCCCCGTTCATGTTTGAGGCAAGAGAATATTGCATTAAGTCTTAAGTATTTATCTTAGTTACCCAATAGAGTTTCATGGTCATCATCCAAACTTCACTAAATACATAAAAGACAGAAACTGTGTTCTTGAAGAGGATTCTATAGTTGTGTTTTTGGAAGTTCTAACTGTAATGGAAAACTGACCCATTAATCTATCCATCAAATCCATCCTCTCCCTCCACGCAGGCGGGCAGTCCCTCTGGAAATGCTTTCCTGTCATCATGATCATACTGACCAGCTTCGTAACCTTGAGAAATGCCAGGACAATGTTCTGGCAGTGACATTATCTATAGCTCTGGGGTTTTGTCTTTCATACGCCTGGTTTGTCATCACAGCCCTTGGAATTGCAGGAACAGAAAAAGGTCAGGAAGGCAAATGAGCTTATGCTTCTGGGGATGGGGGGTGGGAGTATCATGTATGAACGCATCCCCTACCTGGCACTGAGGTTCCAAGTGCGACGAACACCACCGCGGTCACGGAATCCTTCAGGCCGATGGTGCAGCCGAAGTGGGAAGCCAGGTCTCCAATGAAAGCGGTCAGTATGCCAATCATGAGGATGGAGACGATGAAACATGCCCAGCCATTCCAGTATTCAGTAGGGGGGACGAAGGCAAAGAGGACCTTCCAGAACACAGTCAGAAAGTGCATCACGTAATCGAAACAGGAGGGCAGCTTCTCCTCCCCACATTCATCATCATCGTCGTCTTCCCCTAGAGAAAGGAATGGGGGACACTTCATCACAACCTGTGCTATGCCATTGGGGTCTTCCTCTCTCCCTCTCCCTCCTCCTAGGTTGTCACCCCTCTCCCCTGAGAGATGGTGAAGCTTGGAGCATTCCAAGAGTCAATCATAACCAACCAGTTAATTATTATTATAATAATTAATTATATACACACGCCCCCTAGGCAGCTCGTGGATCAATAGCAAAAACTTAAGCTCCAACCAGTTCCAGTTATATGCAATCAACACACACTTTCTACCCCCACATGCCCTCTGGGAGGGTTATCATTTCAGAGAACTGAAAAAGATTTCTTCCAAAAAGCAGGAAAGTCGTGTGCCAGGCTCAGGAAGAAGCCTTTCTTGATGAAAGGTACCTGTGACAATTCTTCTACCAGGATTCTTTCCTTGCAGTTTGGAGTCTGGCTCTGGGGATTCGTGGTGATATGCTCCCGTGTAGGACCACATTCAAACACACCCTCAGCCACAGCTCTGGGCTCTGCATATTTCTCCAGCTTCATCTCCTACAACTGCTTCAAACTCAAATTTCATCCTAGCCGAATGGAATTATTTGCTTTTTTTTTTTGTAAACTATATGTACTTTCTCCTCCTTTTATCCTTTAGAACTAAAAATGCTTTGTGTATCATAATCTCTCCCTCCTTATCCTTTCAAAATCATTTCCTTTGTGAAACTTTCCCTGATTCCCCTCCCCTCTCCTCCCCACCACCCCCAGCCATGTGGGGAACTTCTCAGAGCTTCCATAACCCCCACAACACCTGTAACACTGGATCAGTGCTTCTCCAGGTGTGGTCCCTGAGTAGCAGCAGCAGCACCAGGGAGCTTGTTAGAAGTGCAAACTCCTGACCCCTTCTGAATCAAACTAGGGAGTGGGGGCGGGTGGGAGGTGGCTTTCAACCTGTGTTTGCACAAGCCCTCCAGGAGAGCCTCGTGCACACTCAGTGTGAGAACCAGTCTCCAGACTGTGCCTATTCACTTTCCTTTCTTCTCCACTTGATTGTGAGCTCATCAAGGGCAGCAATTTGTTCACTGTTGTGTCCTTAGTGTTTGGTCTCATCTCCAGCATGTGCGGTAAGCTGGCTAAGTAAATGCATGCATGCATGAATTTCCACTGGCTTCATAAAAACTACTTAATTACATAACATGTACACATATATCACAATTTTGCCGATTATGTCATACCATCAATGCACAAAGAAATGTACAAAGTTAACCATTTAAAGGAGTCAGGGCATCAGTAATAATAAACGGAGGCTTCATTTATAATGTGATATAATCACCATTCACAGATTTTAAAATTCGGGCAGTGAATGTCAACTCCTCTTGCAGTGGTGGCTAATACCTATTTATGTGTTTTTTCGCCATTTTGGAAAGAACTTCTCCTTGAGAATTGGTTCACCACCACCACCTGCCCCAACCTTGTCCCCAGGAATCCACTTCCTCCACCTCATGTTGCTGGCAGCAGGGGAGCTGAGATGCCCCCATGCTGGGGCAAACCTGCCTACTCCTCACGAGACGCTCCGTGGTGAGGCCATCTGGTGCAGCGCACAACTGGGAAAACCCTCAATGCAGGGAAGCGTTAGAGAAGATGCCCCTCAGAAAACATGCAAAATGGCGTGTCTGGGCTTATCACCTGTCATCTTACAGACCGAGAGGAGAGGCAATGGCTTGCTCTTCCATGAGGACCTGGTCAGAATTATTACACACATGCACTCTGGGGATCTGCGCAGAGAGCAACCTCTTCTCTGAGGCTTTGGAAGGCCTCCAATAAGCTCTCGGGAGGAAGCCCCCAGCAGATGGGTGGAATCACCTGTGGAAACTAACTAGGCAGAGGACTTGATTCAGGTCAGCGGGTGGAAACACGGGTGATTCACTAGAGTGAGAAAGCGTTGGCCACGTTAAAGCAAGTGAATGAGGAGCCCATTTGACTGAGGTGGCCCGAATGCCTTAGTCACCGATGTAGGCAAGCCACAACCTAAGCCAAAGTCAGTTCCTATAAACACACTCGTATCTGAGGAGATGAGACTGAAGAACCCCTCACAAACAGCCATCGAGGCTTTCCCAAGTAAGGCAACTGCTTAAGTTAGAGCCAAATAATCTCCTCGCTTCACTCCCATATCTGCTCTAGTAAGTTTTCCACCAACTCCTATGAGAAAGAAGCCTCTTTTGAGAGTAGAGAGCTCAGTAGAGCGCTCTTAACTACTTGTGGTTTGGCTCTGCCCGCTTTGAATCCATGTTTGCTCGAAACAACTCTTTAGTAAAAGTTTTACTGTGCCTCAGTCTATCTTTTAACAACCATTTCCTACAGTGTATATGCTGCATAGTTATCACATATTTCTACTATCATCCTTGTCTGAAAATATAAGATGGTTTTAAATAAAAGCGCCCATGTTATAGGCTGAATTGTCTCCACCCCAAATTCGTATGTTGAAACCCTGACCCCTAGTACCCAAGAAGGTGACTGTATTTGGAGACGGGCCTTTAAAGGGATACGTAAGTGAAAATGAGGCTGTTAGGGTGGTCCCTAATCCAATCTGACTGGCGTCCTTATGAGCAGAAATTGAGACACAGAGAGACAGGAGGGACGCGTGCACATGGAGGAAAGACCGCGTGAGGACACAGCAAAGAGGTGGCCCTTCCTTCTCCCAAGTCCAGGAAAGAGGCCTCAGGAGCGAAAACCTTGATTTTGAACTTCTATTCTCCAGAGCTGTGAGAAAACACTTTTCCACCGTTTAGGTGACCCAGCCTGGGGTATTTTGTTACCGCAGCAGAGCCCCTTTGGAAGCACCCTGTATCACAGCACTGACACCGAGGAACAGCCACGCAGTGTTTCTATTACCTACTCCTTTCTTGTTTTCTTATCCATTTCTTCTTTTCTCCTTCTGCTACCGAGTCAGGCCCGTTTCCCCGAAGCGCAGCAAGCCAAAACGCTGAGATGCCAAGGTCCGCGGCAAAGAGAGGGCTGACTCGCAAAGCAGCCAAGCGAGGAGACAGGAAAACAAATCTCAAACCTGCCTCCTGAGAGCAAGGGGCCCTGGGTGTTTCTGAGATAACAAAAAAGGAGAGCGGTCTGGGGCTTGGGGGCGTGGGTGGCGTGGGGAAAGCTGATTGGAGAAAGGTGTGGGCATCTTGGTTCTGCGCAGGCGAACTAAGCTACGCCCGCCCCTGCACGTTGGAGAGGTCAGCAAGCGCCGGCTCGCGCATGCCCAGTTGGAGGGCTGGTCGTCCTATCCCGTCTTAACCAGCTCAGCCCCGACTGGGCACAGCTGACTCCAAGTTCCTTAAATAACTCCGGCAAACATCTTATTGTTTAAGCTACTTGGAGGCCAAGCAAATCTTAAAATGACCTTGGTTAGTGAAAGCAGCTGAAATGGATTTGACCCACAGTCTCACTTCTTCCACTTTTCTTCCCACTTCCCTCTCCGTCTCCACTGGAGCTCCGGGTAGAACTCACTGTGAAGGCTGCAGGTGTCCGGGCTTATTGGAGGGGTGTTGGAAGAAGGCCATGTTCATTCTTTCTCTGCTTCCTTTCCTCCCCGCTCCAACAGGGGGCTGCTTGTCCCCCAGGCAAGCTCAGAAAAAGCACTAGACTTTCTAGTTATATTTATTTTGTGTCTCATCCTTCAACACTTCTATATTTGTAAACATTTTCTAATTTCGCTGGGGGTATGATTAAAGCAGTTTGGGAAACACTGAATTTTAATCAATCATTTATAGAAACACAGACTATGCTGCCTCTAACCCTACAAAATTACTTAATTTGGGGTGTCTAAGTCTCACGTTGTGAAGATGAACAAGAAAACAATGAAGATTCTCAGGAGAAATGACATTTATGATTTGAGAGTAGATATTATATTTGTCTTCGAGATGAAAATAATAATGAGGGATGTGCAGGGGAATAATTAGATCATCTTTGCAAAGTGTCTGAGGGTACTTCTGGGTAATGATGATCATGGTAGCTATTATTTTCCTCCGCTTAGGATTGTTACCGTGTTTCCCCATCATTATTTCATTGCTCAGTCAAGATGCTGGGTCCTAAGGTGACATTCTAGGCTTTTAGAAACAAAATCTAATACTGCCCTCTGGAATTCACTTTATGATCTATAAGTGTGCAATGCAAAATAAGTGTATGTGTGTGTGTGTGAGAGAGAGAGACAGAGAGATTTCCTTCTGTGGGCTTCCAACATTACAAGGAATCTTAAATATTTTAACGCTTAAGTCTGGATGGGGAGGCCCATCTGTTTTTACTGCATTTGAAAGTCGAAGTGGCTTCCTATCATTTTCCCTGGGATTACACTGCTCCTTATAAATTTTAATCTCCAACTCAGTTGTCATTTAAATATTAAAAATGACCCCTGACTGCCATGTATGATGCACAATTACCCTGTCTTAGAGAAGGACAAAGAAATATTATGTTCATCCATCACCATCTGGACTATATTTAAGTCTGCTCCTTGCAAAGAGCAGTGGAGCATTAAAAAAGTAAAATAAAACAACACCTGGAGCATCTTTTATGTGATGGCAAAGATGATAGTAATCTCCTGGTTCTGTATGTTTGCCAGCTCAGGGTTACTGGATGCTACATAATTCTTTCAAGTCCCTCTTCTGCATTAGCAAAGAAACAGCAGGTTGGTAACTTTCCTTTTATAGGATCCCAAGCAAAGGATCCTCTTATCTCAAAATCCTTCTTTTCAGCTTTATAGATTTCACTAATGGGAAGATAACAAACAAGCTGTATTTGATTAATCCTTCCCAAGGCCTTTTAAATGGTTTCCTTGATATATGTTGGACTTCCTAAATATAACTACAAAGTAGCCAAATCGTTAGAACCGCAGATAGTGGAGAGAGTGCCACTGCAACTATTGACATGACAGTACTTGTGTGAACCCTGCTCTGCAGCCTGAGAATGAGGGCGCCATCAGCACGAGTCATTGACCACGAAAGGCAGCCCCTGGGCTTGGCACCTGAAGATAG